TTACGTAAAATACATACGAATTATCATGAGATCACGTTGGTATTGTAAAATATAATTGCACATCTATATGTAATACAGATTTCCTTTGCTTTGAATGTATGGATTCGATACCAAGGTTGTAATCTGGATTTAGATTATGATCCATATTCTAAATCCAGATTATGATTCAGATTCTGTTTGAACCAGGTTTTAATCCAAATTTAGCTCTGAATATAGATTATAAATCAAGATTCTGATTTTGCCTGAAATGTAGATTTCAGATTGTTGACTAAATTCTTATTCCAGATTGAAATCCAAATTCCTTTTGCTACACTGTAAATGGCAAGAGATTTTATTTTCACCTATTTGGAGCCACTACAGATTCCCATCTGGATAGATTTGCCAGGTCTATAGAAATGTTGATACTGTTGGCTAGATCTAGATATTAAATGGTTCTGGGGGCTTCTGTCTAGATATTGATACTGGAACACCCATCTACTGTACCTGTAATTGATTTTTGTTAGGGAATGGCATGAGTACAAAAAAAATTGAAAACACAGTTGTGTGACTTTAAGAAACATTGGTTAGATTCAGGATGGTAGCATATGGACACTATACACAGTGACTTTCAGTCTAGGACTGCAACAGCGCTCGACTCAGCTTGGAGAGGATTATGGGGTTTATACACAGATGTGTTTTTGTGTTCAAACAGCTAGACATCAGATGGAACAGAACAGAACACAGGGGACGCAATGCAAAGGCGAAGGAGACATCCCTCTAAAGTTTGTGTAGACTCACAGTAAAAAAAAAAGTGTAAATGGAACTCCACTGCCACGTCTATGCTCGTCTGATTATGTGTCAAACACTGAAGCAGTCAATGCACATCCCTAATCTATACTTCAACGCAGCACATCACAACTCTACAAATCTCTTTTACTCTCGTCGTCTAGCCATGAACTCCTCCTGTAACATCCACTCTGAGTTCCAGTGCGGAAATGGGGAATGCATCGATTACCAACTTACATGTGATGGCATCGAGCACTGCAAAGACAGGTCGGATGAGAAGATGCAGTATTGCGGTAAGAACCCAATCAGGCAGGGTGCTGTGTTTGAGCCCTCAGGTATCATCTCTAAACTGAATGAAGGAAGCTACAGAAGGTCTTCCTGTTCTCCTGTGACTCGAGCTAATAAGACGAGCTTAGAGAAGCCTGGCAAAAATGTAATGAGTGTGAGTGATGTGACAGGCTGACTGCTGCTCTGTCTCTCTCCCTCTGTCTTTACTTTCTCAAGCAGAGTTTCTAATGAAGCAGTTGCTTTCAGATAGTTTTACTATCCAGACTTTACATTGCATATTTATTGCATATTTATGAATAGACTCTATCTATCTATCTATCTATCTATCTATCTATCTATCTATCTATCTATCTATCTATCTATCTATCTATCTATCTATCTATCTATCTATCTATCCTTCATATAACTTTATTAAATATCTTGAATACATGTTATTGTACAGTCCTATGCCTAATCTTAGCTTTATCATTCTATAGAGAACCGGAACTGCAGACACGGCTTTAAATCGTGCTATAACCAGCGCTGTGTGGCCAACCATCGATTCTGTAATGGCGTGAATGATTGCGGGGATAACTCAGATGAAGTTTACTGTAACAGTGGGTATTGTTTCTTCTCGCAGAATTGAAACCCATTCTCAATCCAGTGTTGGTCAGTTCAGGAATCTTCTCATTTTTTTTCCTCATTCTGCCCGACTCTCTGGAGAAATGTAGTCCATCAATCAATAGAACTCTTGAATTCTCGCCTTGCTTGAACATCTAAATAACAACATTAAGCTTTAATGCAGAAACACATCTATAATGTAGACAGCACAAACAACAGATCTCGGCATCACTGTGCTTCAGTGAAGGCCAATGAAAGCTGTACTCTTGCCAGCAATGCGGGAATCTAAATGCTTCTAGAAACATTTGATTTTGGAAATAAATAAAATACTTCTCATTACAGATATTTTAATTGTATCATCTAAAGCCAGTGAAACTTGATTATCTCCTTTTTGTAAGAATCAAACTCAGACCTGTTCTGCATTCACACTGGACTTTAAAATGGAGTAAGATCTAATTGATCTTAATTTAGAATCAGTTTCACACCTCTTTAAATAGACCGGTTTTGCATTCACACTACCACTTGGCTTCTATTCTCATTTAGTTAGCACATATATCTTTAATATCAATGTATTTACACTATTAATTATTATTATTTTTTATCATTTGGAATTATGCAAATGTGAAAGCAAAGGTAACCATGAGCACTTTGCTTTCATATTACATATTAAACTTTACTGAAACAATCTCGGTTAATTCGGTTTGCTTAAAAGTGGTCTAACTTCATCTAAAACGTTTTTGTTTGGTTTAAAGTGTACTGACTTTGTTTAAAGCATTTTGATTTGCTTTAAAGTGGTTTGACTTCATTTAAAGCATTTTGGTCTTCTTTAAAGTGGTGTGACTTCATTTAAAGCATTTTGGTTTGCTTATAAGTGGTCTGACTTCTTTTAAATGATTTTGATTTGCTTTAAACTGGTTTGACTTAATTTAAAGCATTTTGGTTTTCTTAATAATGGTTTGATTTCATTTAAAGCATTTTGGTTTGCTTAAAAGTGGTCTGACTTCTTTTAAATGATTTTGATTTGCTTTAAACTGGTTTGACTTAATTTAAAGCACTTTGATTTGCTTTAAAGGGGTCATATGATGTTGCTAAAAAGAACATTATTTTGCAGTTTAAGGTTTAAAAAACACATTATTTTCCACATACTGTACATTATTGTTTCTCCTCTATGAAACGTGTCGATTTTTACAAAGCTCATCGGTCTGAAAAGCAAGGTGTGCTCTGATTGGACAGCTATCCAGTGCGTTGTGATTGGCCGAATACCTCGAGCGTGTGACTGAAATGTTATGCCCCTTACCATACTGTGATGCCCCGGAGCGACGAGACAAAAACATTAAAACCCATTATAAACGAGGCATTTGCTGCATCCAGAGGGGACATAATTACAGATTATAATGTCTTTTTACGCATTGCATCGCGCCACGTAAACATAAAACCATGTCTGCATTTGTGATTGGAGAAATGACAAACAACAAGCGTTACTCTACACTGCTCAAAACTCGCGTTTGAATCGTCAGTGGCAAATTCTTTATGTATAAAAAACGTACTTACAGTCTGTGAGTCAGAACAGCCGGCATTGTAGTCTACTCTCCCAGGATCAGGAAACAGTCCTCCATAAAATGTACTGCACACATCTGAATATT